ACAGATCATAAAAAAGTAAATGTAAAGAACACCATACTATTAGTAGAATATATTACAATAAAAAAAAAATTGGACTTGAAAATGAAATTTTCACCGATCTAGAGGTGTAAAATCATGCTGCAGTGCTCTTTACATTAATTTTTATACACCTGGTACGTGGTTAACTTTATATGTTCACAATTTTCTAAAAAATGGTTATATACATTACAGATACATACAATTTAACAAGAAAATTTTATTTGACTTTAAAAATTCAGTAAGTTTATGATTTGTAAAACTGATTAGTTTAATTATAATTAATTAAGCATTTGTTAAGTTGTAAATAATTTGCAATAAAATAAAAAATAATAGTGAGACATTTTATTAAACTGAACATTACAAATGGTCAATAAAGTAAGACACTTAGAATAGACATGTATGTCTGGTTTAGTTACATAGTCTTAATAGCAGAACGATAGATTCATAATTAATATATTATTTCAAATTGCACATATTTTATACTATATTTTACATGTCGTATTATGAGTTAAATTATATCTAACTCCAAAAATATATATTTTTATATATTTATAATCACTTTAGTGACAATTGACCAATAAGAAATTCAAGCTCAGATAAAAATATTTCTTTCGGTCAATTCTAATTAAAAAATAAATTTTATAAACAGAAGTATTATTAAAATATTGAGTTATACATATTTAATAGATGTTTAAGTTGACGTTAACATTTCAGCACCATTCGTTAATTCTTCATCATTACTTTCATGTTTTATAGGAACAATGTTGCTTGCATTAGATATCACTTTTATATCAGTGGGATTTAAAGATATATTATTTGTAAAAGTATTTAAGGGTACAGTATTACTAAAATTTATTGCAATTGGCATTGTCTGATCTTTGTTAGCTTGACATTGATTAACACTACTATTATTAGTACCTATGGTATGTTTCTTCATATGAGTTGTTAAATTTCCACTGTGATAAAAATCTTTTCCACAAACTTTACATTGAAATGGTTTAATTCCAGAATGTATCCTTTCGTGTATCGACAAATTTCCACTATGTCTGAATTCTTTATTACATATACTACATTTGTAAGGTTTGACACCTGAATGAGTTCTTAAATGCGTTGATAAATTTCCACTATGACTAAACATTTTTCCACATATTTGGCAACCATATGGTCGTTCACCAGAATGCGTTCTCATGTGAATAGCTAAATTCCCACTGTGTGTAAAACACTTTTCGCATTGAGTACATTTATAAGGTCGTTCTCCGTTATGAGTCCTCATATGTATAAATAAATTACTTTTGTGTCCAAATTCCTTGAAACATATTTCACATTGACATTTAAATTTTTTTCCTACACTTAATTCAGGAGAAGCTTTAGATGATCTTATAGGAAGATTTGATTTAATCGAAGGTATCGGCTCTGATATAGTTAATACTTGGTTTGTAAGTTTTGACTGTTGCATTTCTTGGGAAATTGTTGACTGTTCAGGTTTTTGAATATTATTTATGTGATATCGTTGACTCGTTTGATTCTGATTTGCATTGCTTTCCTGATTGGTTTGAAATAACACACCATTTTGCGCATAATCTTTCATGTATGGTGTAGGATCATTTTCCTAAAATATTCATATATGTAATTAGTAAAATACTTAACAAATACTGAGACTTATGAATTTTATAAATAAGGTTTCAACATCTCATTAAATAGTTTACATTTTTAAATGAAACTACATATTTTACAAAATATATTTATTGAAAATATAAAACCCACTTCCATTTGAAATAAACTTTGTTGGCCGTGCATTTCAGTCTTTGGTTGTATCTCATTTGACAGTTGTGCATGACTCCAAAATTGTGGTAATTGATTATATTTATACTCAACACCCGCACTATTAAATAGTGGATATTTGGAATTATCCAACGATGCGTTAATTCTATCATTAGAGTTAGCATCTTCTACACTTATACATTCATGTTTTATTTGTACAGGATTAAACATCTACAAATATACATTTAAAAACAACAGAAATTAATATTTTGACAGTATTTTATCTTACATAAAGGAATTATAATTATTTACTTTATTGAAGTGAAACTGTAAAAAAATGTGTTAAAGATATTAAATATCGAATAAAAAAGATTTTTAAAAAGCCACCCACATTTTTATTTGGATATTTTCAAATTATTAATAACTAAGCTATTGTTTTTAATTTTCTATAATCCAATCAATTATTAAAAAAATAACGCAAGTGACACACTATTACTTCACTATAGTTATTAATTATGTGCATATCTATATAAATAATTATTTACAAACATCTCTTAAAATATTGTTTGATACATTAGTCATTAGATAATAAGGGGTTGCTTTGGTTGTATCAGAACATTAAGTGCCTTTGCTGTGAAAGCCACAAGATTTTTTCTATGTAACCAACAATGCCATCTATGAATACATCTTTTTTACATTTTGCAATTTTAGATATTTATTTTCTAATATGATAAAAATTATATAAAAGAAATCTACATACTGTGGGTATTAATATAGGTATAATTGCTACGTTTTCTGAAATATTAATATAATTAATTTCTGGACAAAAATTAAAATTATGAAAATTATTACATTTTATTTTATTACTTTATAGCTTTATTAATTAAAATTGTTCAAGTAATTAAACAAACTATCATGGAATTAACTGTTATTTTATAATAGATACACCAATAAAAAGAGTCTAAAAATATAAATAATATCTTTGAAATGAAAAATAGGACATTATTTCTGGACTATGGATATGCTTATACTGTAACGAAATTAATTGTTATAATGTTAGTATATTTTAATTTGTTATGAAACGAATGAACAAAAATTATATTTTAACTTATAAGTAGAATAAATTAAAAAATCTTATTTAGTTACATATTTGACAGTGATAAGTATGAATAAAGGAAATATTAATTTTATTAAATGTTGTATCGTTATATTGAACAATTAAAATAATGCTGTTCCAATATTTTATAAAATAATCAATTACCTTATTGTACAATTTTTATTTACAAGTTTTTATCAATGTATTTTTTTAATCTCCATGCAAATTAATAATATGAATATTCCATCGCGTGCATAAAAACTGTCAAACTTTCTAATTGGTAGCAACTCTACCAATCAGAAATCAACAAGCTTCTGGTGATTCTATTCACACGTTGTTAAGTAGAGAACTATTCCTTGTTAGTATATTCTATGATATAATATAAAACGTAACGATTTTGGTTATGTTTACCGTTGGTTAAATATTTTGTCCAAATAAAATGATATCAATAACGAATACAATGGCATTGTTGCGTATTTGTTGTAATACAAGTTAGTCAATAAATCCTTACTGCATTAGTATTATTTTTTGTGATACTCTTAAGTTAACTTACCATTCTGAAACAAAAGTAGATTTTAATACGAATCTGAAAACAACTACGAAAAATTTATTTTTTAGATAACTGTAATCATATTTTACAACTTTACAGATTTGGCTGCCACTGTTAATGGTTTACATACATCTTCAGTAACCTGTTTGAATGTGGACTGGAGGAAGAAGTACGTAAATTTATAAAGACGTAAATTTATTGTAAGACTGATTATCATGAAATATTTGTAGGAAGGGTTTACCAATTAATGCAAACAGTACTGGTCCTTTGGTTAATTTTCCAGACTTTTCCTATAAAGATAATAGACCTACTCCATATGGAATTAGACAATTAAAACGCATTAAAAAACACCAGGAATATGTGGTAATTTTTCAATTCAATTTAATTCCATATTACACTAGGTGATATTAGTAATATTAATGAAATATGGTATTTATAGAGCAAGATTATGACGTTAACTGGTGAAATTGATTATGCAGTTGAAAGACATGCTAAATTGCTAAAACAACAAGAGGTAAAAAGACAAAAGATATTGGATAGCAAATTAAAACAAAAAGGAAAATTATTAATAACAGATAAATAGATATTTTTAATATATTTTATGTATATGTAATTATATATGATTAAATAAATGCACTACATAATAATTCACAATTTATTTTTCATTTGGGCATTAAAATACATGAATGCAATCAAGTAAAAAGATGTTTGAACTGTGTACATTTATGTGTTTAACTGATAATCCATTGGAAGCTTTATAAGTCGTGGGAAATTTTCTTTCTCTTCATTTGGTATATGATCTAATCTAACTGGAACAGGCCTTACTCCCTTGATTTGATTGCTGACATTTTGTAACATATCTTCAGGAACATTTGAATCTTCAAAAACATGTAATCTTTCCATAACATATCTTCTTTGTAAGTTTCCACGCATTGAACTATAAACTGCTTTCTTCATAATCTATACAGTAAAAGGAAATATTATAATTTTATTTAAAATATATTAATTGACATTAATTCTAATATATAAAATATTTTAAGAATCATTTACCATTGTTGGATCTTTAGAATGTAATTCCCATGCAAGTGTCCATGTGTCACCGCCATGATATCCTGTATGGTGAAAGTATACACGTTTCTGCCATTCATCTCCACGCAAAGCAATGTCTTTGCTATTTATTACTATTACATGATCACCGCATTCATCTACATAAAAATAATAAATAAAAGTAAAATACTTTATATTTTAAAATAATATTTCATAAAATTCATTTCTTAATGTACATATAAAATGACACTCACTTAAGGGATGATATATAGGTTTATATAATCCTTTAAGATACCTTGTAATTACTTTTGCACTTATAAATGGATCTTGCCATTTGGCATCATAAATATGCCAAATACGTGCAAAGGTTCCCCAATGCTAAAATTTAAGTTGTCAGTCACATTGATTATACTTAATTAACACAGTAAATTTAATAACTGAATAATTTATGTTGTAAAAGTATTATAAAGATAATAACAAGATTATTTAGTAAAGGTGAAAGCAATAGTATGTACTATAAATATGATTTAAAAAATCGAACCTGGCTTTTGCGGAGTAAAGACATGACCAGCTATATTAAACAATTAATAGAATATAACAGTATAAATAGTTTAAAACGTATTGACCATCCTTATGTTAAGGTTATATTATGAAGTTGTGTACATGAGTTCAAACCACAGTATTTTACATTTTTCTTCACGTTGGCAATACTGAAAATGAATTTCTACACAGTGAAATACCGACGCGTCGAGGCGTAAGATATCTTCGGTAAATGTAGAAACCAGCTTTACCGTGTCACTGAGAGAGTAACACTCCGTCTAAAGGAGGGAAAAAGACGTTCTGCTGTTGCAGTTGGCTGCCCAACGAAATACACGGTTAGAAGTGGACTATCTCCAAAAGCTTTTCTTTCATAAATCAAAGTATAATTTGATTCCTAATACTAACCTAAAATCTTAGATTATCGGTAATGTCGAGTGCGACACAGAAATGATACCTCTTGAGGACCCCCAAGTACTAGACAAAAACTCTCGTACCATGCAACGTTTGTAGGTAAGTCTGTGGCTAATGAGAAAAGATTTACTTCGGTTACACTAGATGGCTGGTCTTACTATTTCCATGACTGAGGAAACAATGTATACCGTATGTCGTGTATAGTAAAATTAACAACATAGAATACACTGGCAATACTGTTAAAAAAAATTTCATTTTTCAACAGGATACATTTATCCACAGCTAATACAGTTGAAACTGTTAACAATTGTATTTTATAAATAGTATAAATGTTTTACAATACTGTCGAGATGTTTTCAACTAACATAAGTACAATAAAGAATGTATGAAGAGAATTATTACAAAATACACATAAACATGGAAGACAATGTAATTCAATAAATTAACTAAAAGCAATGGTAGATCAGGATGGGAGAATAAATAAGAGAGCTTATAAAATCTTTACATAGATAAATTATTGAAATTACTGAAAAAGAATAATGTTAGTTGTACAATAGTATACAGCTTTTCTGATACTTTTCATGTGAGACTTTCATACAAAGTATCATTCTGTACTATCATTTTAATGCATACAAAAGAATTGATTTTCGGAAATAAATAAGTTCGATGATTTATGAAACCATGAATCACAAAATTTTACGAAACGATATAACTCGATTCTGTAATTCCCTGACTTAATGTACCTGATAATTTAATCTTAACATTTTTATTATCTAGCCACGCGGTTACAAATATGCCACAATACACGTAAATGTTGATATTCCGATTAATGCAACGCTTATTCAATTAAATTAGTATCGGTATAAATAGAAATATCTATAATAGCGTTCACTAAAATTGTCGGTTTAAAATTCGAGTTGCAGTCTAAAATTCGCCGGAAGGGTCGACGGAGCGCATTCAATCGATCATTTCCGATTTACAGCAAGTTTCTATTTGGTAATGCACGGCGTCGACGATTTGAATGAATTGCTCCTTCAGTTCGCGCGCCTTCACGTAGACGTCTTCCTTCATCAGGTCGTAGCACATCGCGATGAGTCCCATGCCGAGCAGTAAATAAACAAAATTAATTATCAGCTTGGTCTGGCTGTCAGTGGTCAGGTCACCGTGCGTCCAACCGGGCACGAGATCCCCCATTCCAATTTTACACAACGATGTCACGCAGAAATAAGCACTGTCTAAGTAGTCCCATCCTTCCCACTCCGCGAACATGATCGAACCACCTAGCACATACCCGAATATCACCCAGAGACAGGCCGTCGAAGGCACGGTAATCCTCTGGCCAGGCTTCTTCTTGCCGGTGCACTCGTGCAGCCACGTGTACAGCCACCGGAACGTCTGCGCCAGTACTTTGCCCATATTCAGGAAGTACAGCACGTACAGGGGAATCCCCAAAACCGCGTATATGACGGTGACACCTTTCCCCCAAGCGGTCTGGGGCACCAAAGACCCGTAACCGATCATCGTGAAGACGGAAAGGCAGAACATCATCGCCGCCGGGAAAGACCATAGATCGACCGACGACAGACCACTGCAATTCTCCTTCTTGTAGCTGCTGGTGAAGTTCTCTTGGTAGCTGCGGAGGATCTCATTCGACAACAGATAAAACGCCGTTTTGTTGAACACGTTCACCGTCTGATTGCTAGCCGTGCTATACCACAACCTGTCCGCGTATCCTTTCCTAATCGAGTCCCGGACGCAGACCGTGGACGGAAGCTGTGCTTGAGACTCGATCATCCGGAAACCGAACGCTCCGATTATTGCGTAACCGACGACGAGTCCACCGACGCCCACCTGGGTGCACATGAAAGCGACCAGTTTGCGGCAATAGTCTTTGATTCGTTCCCTCGGGTCCGGATCGGTCGACGTGGATGAAGAATCGCGGCTACGCAGCGACGATCTTATTGGGACACGCATGATAAACCGTGCACAGAGACGGGAAACAGGCTATGGGTACTTGAACCACATGGAACTTCACGTTCGGTGATACTAAACTTTCGAGCCGCTTTTCTATTTCTGTCGGACGATGCTTCGTCTTACATTCTATCCTTTTCTCCGTCCCCTTGTCTTTCTCTCTTTGTTCCACCGTTCCACTCGTCTCGTGTCCGAGGTCAACATTATAAATAGATTACGATTACAATTATAATTATTCAGCAGCGAGATTGTTTTCCCGAAAACAGAGTCGTCTCTGGCTCTTCAATTCGCGTTTCTTCGCGTTAACTTAACGGCTAAAATTTGAATTGACGGCATCGAGAGTACTCCTATTTCATTGTTGGGTCGTGTCCAGTGTCATTAAAATGTATTGTTTTTAATGATTCCAAATTGCGCTGAATATCACGTTTCTGGATTACGTAGATCGTTAACGAAATCTAGAACATGGACGATTTCATTTGGAGGAGTTAACGATTCTTTAGAATTTGGAAGAAATATTTTAGTTCGTTGTTCGTAATGATTCGTAGAGTGATTCGAGAGATTCGAATTTTTGTTGAAGTTTCGTCGGTTCGTTCGGAACGAACTTTACAGAAATATGTCTTGCGCCGCTTAGCCTTTCGATCGTGGGCACTCGTGCGGTATTCGATTGATCGCAGAAGCAAGTTTAACAAGTAACGCGAATAATCCTGCCCGTGCTTCGTCATCTAAAAATACCTGAATATTCCCATTAAGATGAGTTTACTCGCTAGAATTTTGCAGTCTGTATTTTGGCAACTGACGTATTCCAGTGGATTTATGGTTGGTCCAATTTAAGGATGACAGTGGCGTATGTGAACTTTTGATGGTATGGTACGGTATGGTATGATGGTACTGCGAGTTAAACTCGCACGGAATGATTAAAACGTTTCTGATGCTGTTAAAATCCAAACGAAAATTAAACAATCTTAAAAATTTAACAGAAACGCTGTTAATATGTATAAAAGGCATTGAAAAGCAACACATTGTAGATATTGTCAGTAGTCAAATTAACTTCCTAATACGTGTAAACAGATAAAAACAGAAAAAAATGATTAAACATGTATTAACCAAATAATATCGCGTATATAACAAATGTTGTAACCAATTAATAGGTAATAAATATCCACGTAAATTCAAAATTTTCTACGCTAATTTATAAAAGCTGGCATTACATGAACGTTCATGAAACGTCATTTTAGAAACATCATTTTCATCGTACCATTTAACTGGTCCTGCGAAGTTTTAATGAAACGGTACAACGGGAGTACTGTTAAGTAATTGTATAAATATGCGACACACTCGGAGAAACACGTTTAGCGAATACGATGGCCGAAAATCATTTTCATTCACTCTTCATTGCGACCGTGCGAGCGTTTATTATGAAAAAGCTACTCGGTTAACGGGTCAAAGAAATAGTGAATTGTTCATTGGTAGCTCTTAATAGAAATAGTAACCACTATGCATCGAGCACGATGCACAAACTAAATCCCGTGCAATAGGGTCTCGCGTAATCTCGGGGTTAGCCAGTTAGATTCGCGTCGCGTACACCAGTTATATGCTTATCGTCATCACGTACGCATCATCGGATGATCGCAAGCTTTGACAGTTCCGTACGGTGGTTTCACGATGAAGAGCTCGTACATCATTTTTAATATCATTGTAGGTAAGAAACAAGTTGTTTCGTTTCCTCCTTTCACGAATTTCTTCTACGACATTTCATCGAACGATCTTCGAAAAGAAGATGGACACGTTCATCATTCACGCACGTTCCACCTTTAATTCGTAAATTCACACCTGAACAGCTCAGTTAATTGAATAAATGACGGAGTATGTTGTTCACGATCGTTATTATATTTTAATTGATAAATATTCTATTCGTGTTCGTCGATGATTTCCGAGTTTCCATTGATCTCTGCTTTAACGTCACCCTAAGGAGACGTTCTATTCTGTAATTCAATTAAACATAATTATTGTTTGCTTCTAATCTTGTTTTTATGGTGTATTACGTGAAGTGCACGTTGGTTATACAGTGAAATATGAAAGGGAGCATAAGGGAACTGGTATTTCTGTCAAAACGGTTGAATAAATGGAACCTTTTAAACTGTTGTGAAGTGGAACGATAATTTTTCAAATTTCTATCGGTTATTTCGTCCGATTGCCTTGCCCGGAGTTTCACGAGACATTTTGCCCACCGTTTTGCTTTTAGTTCACGTGCTTTGTTCTGTTTCAATGCACATATCTGAAAGCCATAAGGAGATTTCAAAGTAATCATAGACAGTTCGACGTAATCCCTGTTCAGCAACCGGAAGCGTGTATTATGTTCATTAAAATCAGCAGGTCGTTCGAATTGTTCACCGGTCGTATATAAAGCGGTAATTTAGAAAGTGCCGGTGTTACTTTGAACGCTGATTGTCTACTAATTTAAAACGTTCAGCGACAACACGGAACATTTCTCGGAAATTTTTTCTTCGTTTTATAATCCGACGCCTGTGCAGTTTCGGCTTTGAAAAGAAACGCGACGATAGCAAAGTTTCGTGTGCGAAAACTGTTAGTATTAATGCCAAGTGTTGCACATATTCGTGTAAACTTGGTCTCATTTTCGAAGAAATTATTCCGCCCCAATAATTTACTAAACGATTTTCCAAAGAAAGTTCGAGAAACGAGTGAACACGATTTTCTGTTATGAACCGTGTTATATAATCTTTGCAATTGTCAATATTAAATATGATGTCAATCAATTTGAAACCTTAGTATAATTAAAGTTCATCGACCGTATATTACTTTGAAATTATATTTTTCCAATGTACGTTCATACGCATTTAATTACAGTTTCATACTAAATGATGAGTTTAGTGAAAAGCTGTGCCTGACGCTTGGAATTCAATTTTTTATTTAATTCCGAATATGTATACGCCAGCTGAAATTTTATTTTGAATTTCTCTCGATTCTTTGGGATCTAATATTGAACCACGAACCCGACTGTTGACGTTTCATTTTGACTCTATTCCATGAACGGAAATATGTTTCAGGTTTATACGTGGCCACGGGATCAAGTGATTGGGGATATTGGGGTGATCATGGTAATCTATTTGTTCATATTACTTCAGTCTAATCGAGTCAAAATTCGAGAATTAAATTACGCTCGCGCTGGGAACAACTCTGTCCCGATCAACGCTAATAAATGAAGTGATGCGACAAACATTCTTTTCTTATCTGTGACGACACTTATCCTACACTTCAAGTATTTGCCTCCTTCAGTTGTCTACAATTCTCGTTTTTTTAAGCTCTCGCTGAAAATTTTAACCCGGTTTCTTTCTAATTTCACTATTTCTGCCGCTCACCGTAAAACGTTATCGATAACTTGATCAGTTTCCGTTAAGCAGATTTGTAAACATTCATTTCTAAAATACAATAATCATCGAAGGTATCGGCACTTTGTAGAATTTCTTAAATTAAAATTCATCGATGAGAGACAGACAAGACCGAAGGTAAATAAACAACGCTTGTACTTATTTTCCACCTAGGCCCAGCGCAATGGCAAGGATTATGCGCTACTGGAAAGAAACAGTCGCCGATAAACATTGTTCCCGAAAAAACCGAGAAAGCTGATCTTGGCGCTTTGAAATTCGTGAGATACGACTACGCGTTCTCTGGGAACATCACTAACAACGGGCACTCCGGTAGGTACTTAGTCGGAACGAGATATCCTATCGATTAATCGCCATTCGTTGATTATTAATAATTCTTTATCGATAATTCATTCTAATGTCTATACAATTCATTGGGGAACGATGAAAAAGAAGGAGCATTATGAAACGACGACGTTAAGCAAACGTTCTTCTAACGAATTCCGAGCAATCGGTCACTTTTGTCGGTGAATGTATTTGCATCGGGGTTCGCAGTTGCTTTTAACGATGAACTGAATTCATTATGGAATACGACTTCCTGGGAATTTAATTGATTTCTAGTACAAATACAGCTTATCGGTCTGCCGATCCAGCTGGAAGGTGGAAGTTTGCCCTATACGTATATTTTGGAGCAAATACACTTTCATTGGCCAGCTGAACACACCGTGGACGGGGACCGCGATGCGTTGGAAGTGCATTTCGTCCACTACAACGAGCAGTACGAGAACGTCACCGTAGCCTCGCAACATGAGGACGGTATTGCGGTTGTCGCAACGTTGTTCGAGGTACACTCGTCAGCACAAATTTCTAGGTTGTTAAGGTGGTCATAGAATAAAATAACATACAAATAGAAGATCGTTACACGTAATCAATGAATTATTAATATTATGAAAATATCCAAAGAATTCATTCGAACTTCCTTCGTTCACCGAATTTTAAAACTTCAATTTAATTCGTACCGTTACGGACAGACTCCGATGGAGGCTTAGGATATTTTAATTTTAATACGTTGACTGCCACGGTGGTCACCGATGACCGGAGCTTCCGAATTACTTGAAAACAATTATAATTTGTCAGACAACTGACGTCGAATGACAATGTTCAAGAGAGTACATAAATAGATAATAATATAACCTAACGATCGCAATGCTAAAAAAGAAGTGATTCCTTTTTATCTTTGCTACAAAAGAAGAAACGATATATAGAACTCTGAAGTTTTTCGTGGCAGTCGACGTGTTAGGGATATTTTTTATTGCAGCAATGAGTTAGGAAATAATATTTGCATCAAGTTTTAATAGAAATGCTCGTTCGATAGAGTTAACCCCTTGACTTACAATATCGTGTCAGATTCGTGATGAAAATTTCAAACTGAATTCGAGAAATCTAAGTGTTATTTATATTTTTTTTTAAATATAAGTTAAATATTACTTTTCTATTATTAATTATTAACCTTCGAAGGAAAGGTAGACGTAGAATAAGCATAAAAATTGTGTCATTTCCTAATAAATTATTAACGATAAAGTAGTTACATCGATCATAGCGAAGAAATGAATCATAGGGCAAGGGGTTAATAATTGGATAATTTCGATAGAATATTGTTAATTGCGTGAATGTTGTTTGAAGGAAATATAACTGTTAATTGCGAGAAATGCTGTGTTATAGTTGGATTATGAAGACAACGAGGGCATAACGCCCATCGTGGAAGCAACGGAGTTAGTGTCGAAGTGGGTTGGAAAGAGCACAGCAAAAATGAGATCTAAGGTGATCCCTGATCTTCTTCTCCCGAAGGACCATACCACCTATTACCGTTATTCTGGCTCGCTAACTACTCCAGGATGCCAGGAATCCGTCACGTGGTTGATACTCACTGAAAAACTCACGATATCTGAGCAACAGGTCAGTGCAATCATTTGAGAACAGAATTTCTATCTTACAAGAGTTTCATTGAAAACATTTCGCTGGAAGTAAATACACGCTTCGTGTAAACAGATATTGTGTTTGATCTTTCTACAAAGATGGCACTCCATGAAAATATCAGATGAAAGTTAAGAATGAAATTATTGGCAAATTATTTTAGATCAGAGAAATTTTTAACCATTATTCGTACTAATTATTATTAATCATCCCTTAGATTCTTCCCCACCACTGTTCTCTGTATTGAATTATTATTTTGTACACAAAGAAAAACTTGTCGAGGAAATTAAGGTGTAATTGAATACGGTGTAATCAGGTAAACGTGTAAACAATTGTTGTAATATGAATATTAGAATTTAATGCGAAAGTCTAATAAAAGAGGAAGAAAATTATGGCAATTTGCAACTGTTTTTTGTCGATGGCTAGGGCTTAATCTAATCGTACTTAAATTTTTCTTGTACCTTCTACATTATATTCTTATCTTATGTCGACTGTTGCCTTCATAGAAGTTGTTCACCACAGATTTATTGACTCACTATTTTTTTATTTCAATTATCAGTTGAGGATTTTTTTTTAGATAGTACGTACAGACATTGCTTTGATTTGCTTCGGTTAATTTATTGAAACTCGAGTATTTCAGTAAAGTCACTGTCAATTTAAAGAGAAACGTATTTATAGCTAAAATTCGTATCTACAGATCTTTGACGCATTAATCATATAAATTTCAATCGTACTATCTACAATCACAACGCAAGACAGAATTTTTATTCTTATCTTTTACTAACTTTAAACCCTTATCTCCGTAATCTTATACAAGATAAGCTATTTTAATTTTCTCGATCAAAAAACGTTAAGCTTTCGGATATCCAAATATATATACATATATATATTGTCATTAATTTGATCTCGATTAGCCTTGCAAAATTCAATTTCGTATTATTAAACAGGAAACTGTAATTTTCATTAGATTTTCCGTAATAATTGATGACTGCGCGTCGTACCCGTCTCTCGTCGAATATTTTTCAATTGACTTTCATCAGATTTTCCAAGGTCATTCTAAGGTTAAATTAACTTTACGGTTTAATTACCTTAGATAAATTAACCCGATCGATTTTTCTTATCTTCGCGGAACTTTAGTTGGAACGATAATGGATTTCCCATGTTGTCACAGATATTTATCTGAAGAGATTAAAATGGCACACCCTATGTATATAAAAATTTATTTCGTGATCCAAGAGTTCGTCGAATTTTTATTAAGTTCGAAACACAAGAAAAATGTATTTAAACGAGATTAACTGATCCATTTCCTTTCGTTTGCAGTTGAAAGTGTTCAAAAACATTGGAACAGACAACGGCACCCTGAGCTTCAATTACAGGCCGGTCCAAGCCCTGGGAGGCAGAAAAGTTCATCATCGTCTGGATGGTTACTCTTTAGCCACGGTGCCGAGGTCCAATTTATTTTTCACATTGTTCAGTTTTCTGTTCATTAAATTATTGTTGTCGTAATAAATCGTGTTCATATATTAAATTCCTACGCGTGTTATTGTCGTGTGTAAATTATGTTTAATGGTAAAATCTGCGTAAAATCACGGCCTCCGTAACTGTATATGATTAACATATATTTAACCCTCGTGTACTGTTCCCGTGGATTCGGTCCAAATTGTTTTGAACCGTTAAGTCGTTACAAAAACCATAGCAATACATTTTATATACGTGACACGTACACATTACTGTACACTTATATCATTAATGGAACCTAATTAAGCTTCAACGTTGGCCTAACTTAAATCAGGCAACATGAAACAATCGGCTGTTCAACCAGTACACAAGGGCGAATGAAATGATACGTTATATCACAAATAGTCCGGGGTATTGTCGTTTCTTTCGCGACGATTTGTTTTTGCATTGTATGGTTTTACCGCGGGAATGTTTCCCGGCTTTCTGATCGTGCTCGTTCTGACATCCGCTGGCGAAGAATTCGATGCTGGCCCCGTGCTCGTTATTGCTGCTGTCGTCGTCGTAAACTTTTCGTACGTTAACACTGTACATGCATTCCTTTCGAAGATGTAAATCGAGGTGCGCTGTCTGTAAACAATGCAACAATTAAATTTCGATTTTTAATCAAGCGTTGAACGTTGAAACCACACAATCTTCATCATTTTTACATTATTTTTGAGAAACGGAGAGAATTTGTGTATTTCTTTAAATATCGGTTATTTAAAATATTGATTGTCTGTAACATTGGTTTTCAATAAAGGTTTTCAGATAATTAAAAATGTTTCAATGCCTAGCTAAAACGTATCGTGCGAAACTTTACAATTGATTGACTTGATCAATGTTACAGTGGGCGATATAGAAACCCTTAGAATGCCGCTTGACGCGGAAGTTCAAAGGTAAAACGCCATCCAATGAACCCCGCCCATTACAATCTCGTGTTATTAAACGCCTGACAAAGAATTCTACACGAATTTCATAAATATTACTTCTCCATCTGTATTTAATACACGTTACCTCCACCCGAATTTAATGTATATCACTTCCATTTCATTTTAACGAATACTTCACATTTCGTTGATTGAAATGAGGTGCCATTCTTCTATTATCAGTATTCAACGTTCAAAGCATAAATTACATCGAGCATCTTCAACGTAGAATTATTTTGTCACGACCGAATCGATGAATAAAAATTGGAAAAATTAATAAAAATCACTGATTAACTCCTTGCCATGCAATATCGTGTCAGACTCGCGACAAAGATTTCGAACAGAAATCAGCAAATGTAAATGACATTCTACTCTTTCGAATTTGAAATAAACGTTATCTTTCTATTACAAATACTTCGTCCTCGCCAAATGTGGAACACGAGAAGGAATGGAATTCCTTCTATTTCCAGTAAATTATTAACAACGAAATGGTCTAGTAGATTTTTAACGATAAAATAGTCTAGTAAATTATTAACAATAAAATACTCTAGTAACTGTTTAAGAATAGAATAGTTCCAATTCAGTCGTGAATGAAATCGCAGGACAAGAGGTTAATGTCAGGTCGATTACGTGCAAAGGGACAAATATGTAACGATACCTGAACGACTTTCCAGGAAGTTTGCTTTTGTTGGAGGTGTTTGTCGTGAAACGGTGGACAGTACTCCTCTCGCCAGGTGACATTGTACGCCTTCGCCTGGTGGTCCACAGGCCAAACCAACCGTGCCCTGAGCTCGCCGCACTGGCAAATCACGCGTCGCAGCTGAAGGCTAGTCTGATTCGGCTCGCACCTGCGAGAACGTCTCTCTCGGTCGGCTTCAATGAAAGGGCACTTCTTCGTTTGTTATCCTGATTATTAAGCTCGGTGGAGATGTTTACCAGAGGATCTTGGGAACGACGCGTTTGAGTTTCTTACTATCTTACCGTATGCCATATAGTCCGTGCTGTTGAACACCTTCGAAGACTTCCGCGACATCAAACGCCTGCCCCCGTACAACGCGACCGCTTGCACCTGAAGAAAGTACTGATAGTCCATTTCCAGGTCCTTCAGTTCGTAGCAGGTTTTATCCTGGAAGTTAGAACGACGAAGGCGAGTATTACTATCTCTCGACAAACGGTTCAATTGTGATTTCATGAACGTTGGTCATTTCAGTTCGAAGTTTGAGCATCCTATCAACGGCAGGATTCATAATTATTTAATTATATTCCACCAGACGGAGATATATATTTAATGAAACAACTGGAAATGGTAAATTCAAATTCCAGCGATCGCATTCAAATTGGAATTCAATTATTGTCGAACTCTGCGAAGTTGATGAAATATTTTTTTAGCGAATCAGTATCACGTAGAGTAATTCTTATTGAGATGGTCCGGTCTCATTTAAATTATCCTAATAAAATGTTCATGTTTTCCATTGTTTTACACTGAATCTTGCGCTAAGATGCAAGAATTTATTAACTACTCTTCTTATACGCACTTGACTTCATAAATATATCTTCCTTCGTTAAATGACAGTGATACGACGCAATAGCTTTATAAAAATATTGAGCCGCCTCTCTCTAAGTTACTCTACTTACGCGATATTCGCGAAACTTACTTTTAATATGGTCCGATGGTAAACAAGGAGGGAATTATTGGACGGGCCATGAACGAGACGGCTCCAAAATACTTTATAGAACGTAATCGGCACATCCGAGGCCGGTTTCCCCCATCTGAGCATGACACGCAATTTTCCACCGATTAGACGCGCGCCGGATAACGTCAGGTTCTGCGGCTCCTTGGGGCTCCGGGGCTCTGAAAACAATGAATTACATTTTCCTCGAAGTATACGAAAAACCGACTATGTCCGAGCAAACGGGACGCGGAATGATTTCCTTTCTACGCGATTCCTTGTTTATCCGTGTTTCGCTTTTATTAGAATACACGAATACCTTCGTCCACTTCGGAGACCCAATAATGATGGTTCATTGTCATGCTGGGACACCCTAGTGTGCGTCGCCAAGCAACGATTAAAGGGGAACGCGGGGGCCAGTGATTGCACGGTAAATGATCGATAATTGCTGTGGAAATACTTTAATAGCACTTGCACGCGCGTGCACTCGACGTAATGAAACGCGGCCATTGACGGTGGAGACACACAGGTGAGCTGATAAAGGGACGTACGTCGAGAATAGAAGGGCAATGCGTGAAGGCGATAGCGATCAAATGTAATGTAAACATCAATTCGAAAGAAGAGGAGATTAATTCTCGTCTTGTTCTTGCGACGGTTCATTCGCATTGATAAGCGAATGAAGTTCGTCTTTAAAACTATAAATCCTGATCTTTCGATAACAAGCACGAAAGTTCGAAGCATGTACAAGCTAGATTGAATAAACCATTACAATTTGCAACGGATACCGATGTCTTTAAGAAATTAAGCGAGACAAACAATTTTTCCAGGTAAGATCGCTAAGGGAACAAAATCTTTATTCGAACGATACTCGTCTAAATGATATTCGCTTGTACTTTGTCCACAGTTCAAAAGCTACGCGTCTCACAGAAGTGAACAAAAGTTATAACCGACCGATAAAATAAACTAGTTCGCTTTCGTGTAGAATAAATCTCTCGCCAAAGACACGTTTATTGGATGACCAATCCGCATTATCTGCAACGTTGCCCTAACGATTCGCTGTTTCCGAGTATCTTCAGCAAAACCAGGTCCTATCCTTGAGTCACGATGATCAGGGTTTATCTCTAAGCCTTGGTCATCCTTTCCCTTCCATATTTTAGCATATAGCAGCCGAATTGCAAGGAACAGCAGTCATCGTTCGAATTCCGAATCTAGTGAGGATACTCTGTCGAACTCGCTGCTTCGTAAGCTTACGTCGTTCTCGCCGGTAATAATATATTATATTTACCGTCGTGACTTCATCGAAATATATTTCTACATTAGTGTATTTCAGCTCGCCGATCTTTTCACTCGGTATAAAACACGTTACTTAGCCCGACCAATACAATTTCACGAAATGCAGATCGCGGAGCTCACGCTGTAACGGACTCACCTTTCGTTTTGAAAGGCCTGGACGGCTGAGAGTATCCCCGGGAACCGTTTCCATTAATGGCCGCCACACGAAACTGATACCAGTGCCCAGTTTTCAGTCGGGCGCGAAGTGTTGCGTGCGATTTCGTCGAAACATGTCGGACCGCCCAAGAGCTCAATCTGGACTCCAGGTATCTCGGGCCCAGTAAATGTCGTTCCTCCACCAGATATCTCACGTCGTCGCCGGCCGCTTTAGGGTCCCGCCAGGTCAGCACGACCAGATTGCTCTTCTGTTGCCTGATCTGCAGATTCTCGGGGACTTCCGGTAAGTCTGGAAACGCGATGGAACCGTGAACTGGAAGCATCGGCGGATCACGGCCGAACAAAGGCAACAATGATCAAACGCGTACCGGTTCCATTGTCCAAACCCAACGGATGCACGCAGGTGACACCGCAGTCGTGTTTACAGCACTTAGCCAAATCCGGGCACCGGGAATCGTCGACGCAGGCGACTAAACAGGCAGCCTCGAACGGCGACAGCGACGATTGGTCGGGGCAATAGCCAGGTTTCGTGTAATTCGAGTCCAAACAGTTCTCCATGCACTGGAACAAGAGGGGCGTTAAGGTAACGACGAGGCCGCGGAAGTGTCCGGCAAAAACACGTTAACCGGGCGATTTGTCAAGTGCGGACACTCGGCGGCGTGTCACTCTGGCCGAATAAAATTGATGGAAACTCGTGTAGCTTAACGTTCCGCGGTGGTAAACGTCGATGTAACGATGCCTCACGCTAATACTGATATTTGTCATCCGACGAGACGCGAGAATCGTTGGGCGAAGGAAAGGACAAGAGGGATCAGGTTCTGTTGCTTACCGTTGAAGATTGATGAGGATACAGACGCGATAAAACGAACTTAATAATTACCACGGTTTAATGAACAACTTTGAATATCGCAACTGAGAAACTAAGGGATTCGTTTTACTGTATGTGGTTGCGTATATTTTATTTTAATCACACCGTCAATCGATTTCTCTATGCTCCTCGGTGGAGCTTCTTATGCGCAAGGTAAACAGACGAATGCGAATTGACGTGTAGCTCGGTGAAAATTGTATTTTCAATCTTGCGTATCGAAATATTCAATACTTGTAGGTTAATGAATTTTCTGAAGTGAATGTGGAGATCGTTTTTCTGGCCGAGAAATGTTTACTAGCGAAATTATCCATGTGAATTTAATCGGGAAAGAAGCTGTTAGTCGGGGGTTGAAGTATACGAAGAGACTTTCCATTGTTTTATCGGGTGAAATTATTTTCGACGATATTACATCCGGAGAATGCGAACGCCTGATGTCAGAATTATTTTGCACGCATCTAGGAATATGCGGCTTGGAAGGGGAACGTTCTCAGTCTCGCGTTGCATCTAGGTCGGAATAAATCAAATGAACACAGTCTAAACAAGCGTGCTCAATTATTTAGCAACCGGATGGCAATTCCCCCGAGGAGAAGTGCAATTCGTTTATTTCCCAATATTAATGGAACGGAATATTAACAAATATGTTTCAAATATTGCTATTAGTATTCCAAGGAAAATAAACAACTGTTCGAAGCGAGCGGCATTCCTAACCGCATGCCTGGGAAAACGGAAAACCTTTGCAACTCTTTTGGAAAAAAACTTCTGTTATCAACCGAACATTTGCATGCTCATTTATACACACTTTATCGCATCGCAAGCAAGTGATGCAATAATTATTACATGTAATTGTGACTATGTTATGATTATAAGGTCACGAGTTCCTTGATACGTCCATTTACTTTTCACTTTCATACGAAAGAGTCGTTAGCCTTAAAAAAAAAACTACCAGAAACACTGTGCGATCACTTTAGTTGTTGATATACGAGCTACGAGACTATAAACCTGTTACGATTACACCCTCTGCATAGTCTCATCGCTTGACGTTAACAACGCGTCCACAAAGAGCAGTTGTTTTCATTCTGCGAAGTTCACGAAACGTGACTGCGCTAAGAGGACGTTAATCGATACGATTTTTGTCATAAATATCTACATTACAACCTTCAATGTTAATTAACAGTTTGAGTCCCAAGCAGCGCGACCGCGCTGTTTAGATTTTACGTTGAAAAGACCCAGCACATTTATACACTACGGACAACTGACGGTGCGCTCACAGTTTGTCGAAATAGTGCGCACAATATTTCTGACGCATGTACATCGTATCGCTGGTTAATTATGTAAATAATAGAAATAATACACTTTGTATTCTGTTGTTACCTGTTCAATAATTTTTACTGAAAAAAATCTATAAAAATAATATAAGTTCGACGACGTGAAAACAAGAGTGAATCCGTTATTTGACACCAGCAAACATACTGGCTCCTGTCGCAATTAATTCAGGCAAGCAGTATTGCGCTGTTCGGTACTTTTCGGCAGTGTTTTTTTCAATAATCCCTGGGACTCGAACGGTTAAGTAGGCAACATCGTCTTAAGAAGAGACGGTCGGCCAATAAACGACTTCCTTTCTCCGCAACGTTCAAATTTTTCGTTTACGAGCGCGCTTCGAGGAATATCCTCGACGTCGAAAAAAAGGTCACTCGTAAAGGGTTAAAAACACGAATTTCTCCGACACTTTCACTTCAATACCCGGAGAAAGCGCATAGAGCATCCCGCGCGGGCAATCGTAAACGAAACTCCGTCGTGGCACCAGCGAAAAAAGAATCGAGCCGAGCACGCCGGGACGGGGCGCGTGGCCATTTTGCCGCGGCAGCTGAAATACGCAGCAGTTATCAGGATCTCCGTGGCTGATTGGAAATCACACGGGTTATAATTGTTAAGGATATCAAGATGTCAAACAAGTTTGATTAAGTTAATTGGCGAGGGGAGTGGCGATCGTAATCGCAGCGGTTCAGTTTCTTCATCCTCCGTTCCCCACCCCGTGATTTTAATCCGAAGCGCGGGAACCTTATTTAATGGTAAATGTTTGGGAGTCCCAACGACGGCAATTATTTTTTGCCACGTGATGAATTGTCATAAAGAAGGGAAGTCGCGCAGTAAATGCCAACGTAATTTCAAGCCGCGGCCGCGCCGCTCAACTCTTAAGATCCGAGTCAGCAATTTTACGACATAACTTAACAACCCTGGGTGCACGATAGGTCCGTATGCATATGCGCCGAGGCGAGGCTCGCGGGCCGACCTATCAGTTACGAAAATTATGAAATTAATTGGGCCGTTGCGTCTGTCGGGGGGAATAACTCGATTCCGCCTCCTTATGAAAATTAAACGCCGTACAAGGTACGGCCTCGATTCACTCGGTTCGTTATAACGAATTCGATTTTTCAATAGTTCAAATATTAAACGAATGTCGCGTGATTCGCTCGGTGATCGCTCGGCTAAAAATACAAGTACTATTCGGATTGCGTTGGAAACGGCACCGATGGGGAAAAAAGAGGTGCCGTTTTACTGTTCCAACGGCCGCGCGAGGAATTTGAACGTTGAATTATTCGGGCGAATTAACGTCGCGCCGTTAACTTCCAGCGAACGTCTTTCGATGGAAATTCAGATTTCGACCTGGAGTTTTCTGATAGCCTATTACATTCGGACGTTAAACAGAGATAAAGTGAGAGAAGTTTAGACGTCAAGTTGAGATGGAATTTATTGTAATTGATTTTTGGAAATGGTACTTTCGTGTCTCGATCTTACGGAAAATGAATAAGTCGGATGTATCATCCGTTACTTGCAATGTATTTCCATCACAAATTTCAAAACGACACGAGTCCAATCTGTCCATCTTCCCAGTGACATCTGAATCAATTGAAAAATCTCAGAAAAATCTCTACAAACACCTGTAACTGAGCATATAAAAACAATACTCGCGAGAATAATGAAAGAACATTAACCCTGTTCCACTTTTTAACCCACTCTCAATTTTCCTTAGCACCAGTTTCTTCGTTTACCATTCTGCAATTCAGTCTCATTTTATCAAGGATACCTTCGACTTTGAAAACAATCTAAGAAAAATATTAATATTATTACTACTTTCTCAATAATATATTGAGTACACGGAAAGAGTCGCTTCTGGCAAAATGTCGATATCGGAAAATCATCGGCGTTAGAAAATTCGTGGGATCGATCGATCGCCTCTATGATCGTCTCCGTGTTCCGTAGAGACTCGCTCGCGATCGCGTCGTAAAGGGCAGACGGCGGATTAACATTTTCGAAGTTCCATGTGTACATACTGTCGTGGCGGACCTCGTAAATCGTCGAGCGTGAGGACGATTCAAGTGGATGCGAATTCAGGGACACTCGTATAATTAATCAGTAGCGGACGAAAGTGCACAAAACCTCGCCACTCCAGTGAAGCGCACCGGTGCGCTCACTCGGGGCTCTGTTACTCGGAGCGACAACGCGGGCAGCATTACGGGGATTCTGGTGTCCATCGGAGAACCAGTTTATACCGCGACGCTAACGAGTGCCAAATTGCCAATCAACATTTAAAATTGATCGGTACACGATCAAAAATTCTGCATACACTGTTGCCCTCAAGGACACGGGGGCCACATCGAGTTTCGTAAGCGAGTTACAGGCCACTGCCGGTTACAGGATGTACAGATACTTTGTTGCAAGGAGGAAGGGTACCGTTCCGTTCACGTGTACAGCGGCAAAAAGTTGGCACGCAGCACACTCGCGGCCGGGTAGCGATTTAACGCTAAACGTATCGGCACTTTATTATACGACTGGCACGGAATGATAGTGGTACGGTTACTATTTCCGAGTTCTCGGGAGAAAGAAGCTTTCGTGAGATATTCTTGGTTTATTAAATAATAATATTATGGTTATCGACACGTCGACTGCCGCGAGAATTTTTAACGTTTTATATGATGGAACTTGTTCTTTTATAACAGAGGCAAATTGTATTGGGTTTATCTGTCAATGATTTGGTATGTTCTTGGGTTAATTAAATAGTAATATTGAGATTATTGACACGTCGACTGCCACGAGAAGTTTTAACGTTTTATATGGTGGAACCTGTTCTTTTGTAATAGAGGCAAATTGTATTGGGATTAGTTGTTAATGATTTGGTATCGTTATAATTAAGTTGCGCTATCATTCGGTTACTTATGTTAGTAAATATTTTCATTGGACGTCAGTTTTCTTGTAGTTGTTTTCAAATGATTTGGAAGCTCCGGCCATTGATGACGATTAACAATGATGATTAATATTATTAATACTGATTTAAGAATTGATAGGAAGTTAAAGGCGCTGTAGAAATTGAAGAATTTGAAATCTGCTGGGATAAATGTTTATTCTGCTAAGAACAATAAACCAAAGTGAACGACAAATGTTAGTAAACGTAGTGTTAAGAGTGTTAGATAATTATATTCACGTTACAAGTCCCAAATAGATAATTCTGAGTTGATGTTAACAATTTCGATGATTAGAATTCAAATTTGAATTCGAGATTGAAGTATAACGGTCAAATTCAAACGTGAATCGAGTCGAAACGGGAACTTAGTTGCGGGAAGGGAATATATTTGGATAGTTGTTGAGTGGCTCGGTTGAATGTACTTTATTAATGATGTAATTTCTAGTTACCTCGTCAGTGTAATTCCTTCCGCAACGAGCATCGCATCTGGCTACTCTGATCGCATCGTATTCTTCGATGTATCTTGTCCAGGATGCCAGGCATCCTGGCAGAAGTAACCACCAAGGCCACCATTCTACGTAAGAATTTCACGAGATTAACAGTTATTTAACAACCGAACGAATTTACAAATTTTCACAATCGTAGATCTAGTTGCTCCATTAATTTCACGCAAAAAAGAAACTGAAGAAACTTCTTTCCCTTTCTACAAAGATTAGTTAAGAGAATCATGCATTAAACATTTGACAAATTGTTATTGTGTTAATATAGATGTTGTAAATCGGTTTTATGGAATAATCGAGTGATATTAAGTGACATGATCGATTATCGGAATTTTTATGTAACGTTCATCAAGTGAAAGAGATTATTCTTTAGCCGATGAAAATGTCACAGGAGGGCGAATAGATCTGGTTCTGGATCACGCACTCGACGGGCGTGTTCGAACACTACGCGTGATTAATGCACTAAACTTCACTGGCACGGTTCTTGTATTGCGTGAAATTTTCTGCGCGTGAGTCGAAACATTGGTTCGTTCGTTTATCGCGTGACTGTACGATTCGAAGTTTGTGATCATAATGTTCGTGATCGCAGGACTTGAACTTTGAAAATAATCAAATGTTTCTCGCAATCGTGTTTTAATCCATTTTACTGTTACTGTTCACTGTTTCCCTTTCAAAGTTTCCTCGTGTTGGATAAACGACGAAAAATCGCAGATTAAATCGAACTTACGTGGCTAAAGTGGAACTGAAGTTTCAATGAATACATTTGAACGTATATTTAGATCGTGGAAAGTGATCCTTTATACAACTAACCCTTACATACTGTCCGATTCAATTTAATCCGAAAATTTCCTAATACATTTGCTTAATGAAATTGTAACATTGATACAACGTGGAATCGAGCAATGCAAAAGCAAGAAAAGCTACTCAAGAATCAAGCTTCCCACTTTCTCAAAACATTCATCGTCTAAAAATGATCTTCACTAAAAACTGTATTACCAATATTTCACTATGACAATTCATATACTCTACTATTTAAATAAAAAACATACTCGAGCAACACACTTAAAATTTGTTTAAATTATCGATAACCCTCGACCGATACCTAAGAGTAAACCCTACAGGACCATCAACTAAAAAATATAATCTCCCAACAACATAAACAAACTTATTCCAATATTTTCCCTTATTCGGAAATTAACCATTTCACAACTTTTGGAACACCGAAAACATTCATCATAAGAAGGATTCTATTAATTCCACATCGAACTCTTAAGTACCAAATAGAAAAAGAATGATTCAAATAATAAATGAACTATTCCAATGAAATTAAATGATTCGTTCTCAAGTTTAAACTCTAAATACGATACCTCAATGTCGACGATTAACCCCTTCACAACTTTTGGAACACCCAAAACTTTCATCATAAGAAGGATTCTATTAATTCCACATCGAACTCTTAAGTACCAAATAGAAAAAGAATGATTCAAATAATAAATGAACTGTTTTAATGAAATTAAACGATTTGTTCTAAAGTATACATGCCAAATACGATACCTCGATGTCAACGATTAACCCCTTCACAACATTCAGAACACCCAGAACCTTCATCAGAAGGATTCTACTAATTCCAACATGAAACACTTAAATACTAACTAGAAGAAAAATTATTCAGAGAATAAATGAACTGTTTCAATGAAATTGAACGATTTATTCTAAAGTTTAAATACGATACCCTGATGTCAATGAGGCAATTCCTCGCCAGAGGGTTAATTCGAATAACAAAGCTGTTGCTGTACGTACTTTTCAAGATGTTGGTTCTCGAAGGACACACGCGCGATTTGACAGCGTACAGCCTACGGCCACCAGGCAGGAACATGTCGTCGGGGGTGGCAAAAGACTTCCGTGTGCTCGAAACGAAGACGGAAACGAGAATCGGCGAGCGCCGTGAGCGGCGTGTCCTCCCAGACGTGATTCCTCCGCGGTCGTCCACGAAGCGTCGGATGTTTCTCGCGCGATCGAATTGCACGCGAACCGGCTAAATCAGAGACGGAACGATCGCGGCGAACCGTTCGAACTGGGATCGAGCTTACTTTTCTGCACGGGCCGCTCCTCTCCTGGTTCGCTGGCACTTCTCCTACTACCTCCGACCCACGCCATTCGTTTCCACCACCCTGCTGGCTGCTATCCATCTCAATGATCGAATCATTAAGTTCGGAAAGGGTCCTGTCTGCGCGCACAGTGGCCGACTTTAATAATCTACCTGCGGGCATATCCAAAAAACACGCTTTTCTCTTGGAAATTCGATACCGCGACGCGACGCGACTCTGACAACTCGTGCCACCGCGGAACAGCGTGTTAGACACGAGTTCGAGGTAATGGGAGCGTGTTGCCGGGTTCGCGTTGCGAGGATTTCGGCGATCTTTTGACTTCTTTTATAATTGCGCTCGTCGAAATTACTCTAGCGTTGATGGCTTATTGGGAGAAGAGGATTCGATGCGGAGGTTAACGATTGATAAAAGTAATATTTACGAAACATAGGTTTAGGGAACGATGATGTTTAGATTTGTGAAAAATCGTGAGATTTTTATTACGAGTATGGTGTAATATTATGGATTAAAGGGTTAACCATTCAACGTTGGATGTTTTTATTCTGATTGTTGTTGATTAATGTTTCTTTAGATAGTTTCTCGAATCTACCTCGACGAGACGCGTTGATCTTATTTAGTTTGGTATTATTTGGAAACGCAGGTTAAGTATAACTAGGTGGGAAGTTAGAAATTTTAGTTCCTTAAGTATTGCTATTCTTCGGGTACTTTCACCGTTTCCAAGGTTTTTCAAGGAATTCAAATGAAGGGGATATTATAGGACATTAATTTATATTTGGAATGTTACGCAATTATGTTTAATGTTATATAATATATAATTATATAATATTAAACTTTATAGCCTATCCTTCCAGCGGGCGAACGGTCATGATTGGATTAATGCGGACCCGCATCCACCTTTTTAGGATCGTAATCCTTTTTTTACAGTAATCGATATTTCGAAATCTGAAGATCGTTTCTCTTCAACAAAGACTCGCTGTCCGAACTATTATTCGAATAAGTTTGTTGTCCCGTTCGTTGTTTCTCCAATGTTTACAACTCAGTGAACATTAACATAAGACAATATTTACTTTTTCTATTCAAGGAAGTCGGGATTATCGCGCTTTAAAAACAACATGGAAATCTCGATTAAAAATAATTCGGTTATTCAATGATTGGCACGGTAATAATGAATAGAGCATCGGACGTAATAGAGGAAATACGAGACATAGTATGTACAAGAATATAACTCATGATTAGTGTGTACTTAAAAACTCGATCGAAATATTTAAGGAAAGTAACCTTAATTATAGGAAAACTGTAGTGAGTTGCATCGGATAAACGAAAAGTAGATACCTGTTAATAGAAGGAAATGGTTACGATAATTTGACAAAGAAAACAATTGCCTAGGTAGAAATGCCGTGCGTGATATAAATAGACGTCGAGAACGAGTAGTTCGTCGGAATGGAAACTAATTAGCTTCTCGCGTATGAAGCGGCTAATCTTCTAGCGATGCTTGATATTTCATCGAAGACTAATATCTAAATATGTGCTTGTAATTATTACAAGAAACCGAAACAAGAAACACAGCGATATCAGCTGAATTTTCAAAAAAATCTTTTTTCCCCATTCATTCACAACGTTCATTCAATTCTCGATAACAACACAACGAAAAGACACATTTACATTCTACACTTTGCCACTTGTACGCCACATAATCCCCCGCGACACAAACGTAATACATAAACCTAAAAGTAAAGCTAAAAAAAACATTGGCAACGTCGTCGAAGTTAATCAACAACATCTCCGAAGGATAGTTTACAAATTAAACCGGTGAAAGGTCCGTTAAACCGTTCGAATCTATCGAATCTTCCATAAGCTGCGGCATTAAAAGAAACCGCTAATTAACTTCGGCGATGCTCGAGCGAAAAATTCGCCCGC